GGGGGGGGAAACCTTTCTGGCAGGTGTACCACAGATTATTCCCTCCTTGAATGCTACTCCAATCCCCTTCTCCTGCCTGATATACTGCTCTGCTTTCTGCTCCCTCCCTAATTGTTACTCTGCCACGTGAACAGGCTGCCAATACCACTTGTAGCACACGTCACAGATTGACCACCCCGGCCTAGGCCATAGGGGCACAATTCCAGTACTCTTTATTCATTATGTTACACATTCATTGCTTCTAAAAGCAAACTGGATCTAACCCTAACATACTACTCTTGTTGTTTGGGTTTGCAGACTATGGGAAATATTTACAAAGAGTCTTGATGGGGCACTTCAGTCCATATCAGGTTGTACAAATTCCATTTTAAACAGAAACCTGCATTTTGGAATAACACTAAATTGCAAGTGCCTATCTGAAACATAGCTACCAAAGTGTTAAGTTTACAAAAGGCATTTACATTCACCCCTTCTGTCTCACTAAAATTTCACACAGTGCACGGGTGCAATGAGAGAGCAGACTGATGCTGATACAGCTTTTGTTCTAGAGGTAGCTGAATTTGCATTCCCTTCAGACCCTAGATTTCAGTGTTACCTGCAAGTTTCTCAGTGCCTGCTGGACCTCTCACTGCAGCACAAGGCAAGGGGAAGAAGCCTTGTACTGTCTACTTCAGCCTATCTCCAGGTCCTCATCAGTGGAGAAAGCATGAAAGGAAAGAGGTAGTTATATCAAGCTTTATTTGCTGCCTGCTTTTTTTACTAATGCTTTTGTTATGGCCTGGAAGAGCTGAAGTCTATGTTTCCCCTACTGATGGAGGTAGGAAGAGAGTGATATATGGCTCTTTCCACTGATAATATGGATAAGAGAGTGGTTGGGCCCATCACTACTAGTCTGGGAAAGTCAGAAGGATTGGGTGTGCATCCCACACACTTACTATAGTGGGAGGGGCAACTCTTGGCTCTCTTCCTGCACCTGCTAATCTGAGAGGCCAAGCAAGAATGTGTGCCTACTCCCATAGCTGGTAAGTGCAGGGAGGAACAGAAGTCCCTGCACTGTTCCCCCCTATACATACACATGGCATTCCTCCTCCTGTTCTTGTGGGGAGGGGTTGGGGGTAAGGATGACAGAAAGCTAGATTTTTGTGACTGTCTCCCATCAGCTAATTAATTCTGCCTCCTGTTGGTGTCTGATACATAACATTTCACATGAAAGATTTGGGAGCTGTGCTTAAGGATGACCTACTCTTCTCCATGACAAGCTCATGATTTATAATGAGTTCTCATTAGCTTACAGTATCCCACTGCAAACCTACTGAGGAAATAAACCAGCTATAGGACATGAAAGCTTCAAGATATCTACTAGGCAGAGGATCCAGCAGCACAGCAAAAGCCAAGCAAGGTAGGACTGCACCCACATAAATACAAACAAGATCTAGGGATACCTCCTTTGTGAGAAGTTTATACCCTCTCCAAGAATGATGGGAGGGAGATGAAAATCTTCCCAATGTTCCTTCCCTGGACCTTGCTCACGGACTTCTCATCATCCTCTTACTAGCAAGTGCCTGAGCTGCTTGTCATAAACACACCCTCTCTTCCAGCCTCCGCTGACTACCAAAAGGTAGAAAGAATTTCCTTTCACCATCTTATACCTCCTGCTCCTGAACATCCTACTTCCAGTAAAGGAAGCCTGATGACTCTAACTATTCCATAACCATGTTTTTTGAAATTCTGTCAAGCTATCAAGAATAGTTCCAGCTCAACTCAAGTATCATTAACAGCATTTCCAAGCAAAAATATGACGACATGAAACTAATGCTGTTTCACTAATGCCTGCTGGCCTTTGAATTTCAACAATTTAACTGCTCCATTGCCTTCAGTTTCACTTTTCTACAGTAACTTAACTAGAAACGTTTGTGTTTTAAATGTAAAACATCTTGCCAAAGATATTTTTTCTGCTTTACTTATCACATTTAACTCATAAAGATAAGGACATTTTAAGGATTCACAGATATCACTGTGTCGAATCTTACATATCCATACAGCAAGCTTTTGTCTAGTTAATCCACTAAAAGATACTAGTTCTTTCACAGATGGCATTTTTTTAATTGGTTAATATATTTCTCAAAAAAACCTTTAGAGCCTACTTTTCAGAAGCATTCTTGCACCTTCAGCTCCTATCAGTTACACTCAAAAGCAGACTAATATCTAGTGGCAACTTCCAAAAAACTTAGAGGAAACAATGAAAATTAATAGTTAAAAAAAAAACACCAAACAAACTATAGTTATAATGTATACACTTTACAGGTGTTTGTTGCCCTAGTGTTCCTCAGGCAAAAGTGCAGACTTGTCCAAGTATTCATTTAATAAAGATTTTCTGTTAGAACATGTTTTTGTATGTTCAGTCCTATGTATGACCCAGACTTCAGTAGAATTAAATTTGGCCTGTCTAGCTTAGATGGGGAGGAAAAGAGAACTGGATGTCAAAACAATGGAGAAAAGAAAGAAATCCAGCCAAGGGCAAGATTTTGGTTCTTTCCTTTTTTAGGGTCCTTAACCTTTTTATGATTTCATCTTAGGTTTTAATTAAATGCAAATATATTGGCAAAAGACAGCTGTAGACCTTACATCATTAGTGCTATTTACAGGCATCCCACATCTTACGCGGGGGTTACGTTCTAAAGGCAGCGCGTAAAGGCGAAAATCGCGTATAGTGAAATCGCATATTACCATGCCAGCGATGACTGCCTCTGACTCCAACACCTCCCGCCGCCACCGCAGAGTCGCACTTATAGCTGTGCGGCCGGTGGCAGCAGCGCAGCGCAGGGTGGTGGCGGTGGGGATGGCTGCGTGCTGCCTGGCCACCACCACGCCTGGCGGCTGGCCACACAGCTCCGGGCACAGCTCCATGGCGGCGGTGGGGGGGTTTGGGGGCAGAGGGAGGGCCCCCCGGGGGGGGAGGTCCCCGCTGGCAGCGTGGTGGTGGCCGGGCCTCCAGGTAAGCGGCAGCGCCACGTGCAGACTCAAGCCCCACCCCCCACCCACGTATAGTTGAATTTGCGCAAGTTAAATGCGAGTAAGATGCGGGGTACCTGTATATAATGCTCTACTTCTTCAAAGCAAATATGTCAACAAAGAACACGGTAGGCATATACAAGCATTTGAAAAGTGTATAAAACAGGGAAAGA